TAATGGCTATTTGTAATATGGACTTGCTGTTGGTTGTCTAATGAGATTGTCTAGATCAAATTCAAGCTGGTCATCAGTTATTGGTCTAGGGACATCGGGTGCATCTCTTGAAAGGAAAGAGACAATGGGAGTAGCGCCAGTGTAGGAAAAAATTGAAGTGGTATTTACGATAGGGGCGGACAAAATTATTGGTTGGAAAGGTGGTTACAAAAAATTAGGGTAGGAAAAATCATCGGGTGTGTCAATTGCAGGCTTATTTAAGTTGAAAGTGTTGTTAAAAACTGTTTGGGTTTAGTCGTAGGAATCCATGTGTGGTGGTTTAGATGAAAAACTGGGGCTTAAAACGGATAGGGGGAAGAAGTGAAGTCTGATATGGATAAAAGAGAGTCTTGTCGGTAGGAGGAGGCATAGGAAAGAGAACAATTGAGGGATCCAATCTGTCGGCTCATCATGGGCTAAAAAGATGATCATTATGAGATGATCATCAACGAAAACTTATTATGTGTGGTTGCTCTATGATTTTTTCATATGTTTCACCAGTGTTACGTGTTTGAAAAGCTGTTTGTGATATGGGGCTTTGTTGCTTATTATTGTTCTGGAGCCAGAAAATCTTGCCAACTATATTGGTGCTACGCTGGCTTCTTTTGACTTGTGTGCGTATCGCGCATGTGTTATAAATTCCTTTAAGTAGTGAGAAGGGTGTGATGTAAGAAGATAATTTTTATTTTTGTTTTGATTAAGCTTTACTTCATTGTGGCTATATTTGGATCCCGATTGAACAGCTGTACCCCAAAAATGTTCTTCGTGATGGGGTGTCTAGGAAAAGTACTTTATTTTTGTAGAGTATTGGTATTCTTTGGTAGCATCTTTTATCTTCAAGGACATATAGTGAGAAATTTTAAGTGCATGTATAATACCAAAGAATAATTCCTTCGTTTTCAATAAACATTGAGTAATTACCTGAAAGTAGGCATCCTGCATAGGGCATTTTTAATACGGCTAATTCTAGAGATTGTTATATTTGTTTTCGTTCTAGTTCACATAAGTGATTTAGTGTTTCGAGTTCAGATAGTGACATTTCTTGAAAAACTCTAGTGATAGTGCAGTCAAGTTTCACATCAAGATGAATGTCATAGTGACTTGCACCGAAATGTTTGTTACTATTTGCTAAAAGTTCATCTAAACGTGTACTGTCACGGTTTTCTGGTGGAAGTTTTCCTCCTGTGTTTCCACTGTTTTTATACAAGGTGACTCGCATAAAAATGATCATCCTCTCTGCTGTGATTCGGAAGCGAAAGAGGAATTATGATTTTTCCTGTTTTCATGTCAAAATCTTCATCATATTCAAAGATTATTTGAATAATTTTTGCCAAAAAGTGGTTTTGGATATTTACATGCTAGCTTTGTTTTAGGGTATATATTAAAACGTGTTAAATTGCTTTCTAGTCTTTCGATGTTTTTTTATGAATTCGACTTTGATAGTTTTCTATCAGGTTTTAATTGATTAAGTGAAATGGATTGAATAGTATACTTTTGTGAAATTTCATCTTTCTTGCCTGGATTTTAGCAACTTGTAATGTGGCGCATATGTCTTCAGGGAACCAAACAATGGTTGCCTGTATGCGAGTGGTGGAATGGCAAAGTACTTGATCAATTTTACAGGATAAGCGTGATAGAATATGGTGTCATCTTTTAAGTCACATGTTAATTGTACTTTTTTGAATAAAATTTTTCAACCTAAAAACATCATTTCTTGATATCTTGAGATTTTGTGTTTGCTTTACAGATTAACGAATCATTTATTCCCTAATGAGTTATCCAGTTCTTATCGTGCAAGAAATTCGTTGTTTTTCTGTGTGCACCGTGATGAAGAAAGTTTTTATCAAGCTGTATATGGACTTGAAGTTTTTCAAGTTGAGCTTGGTGTCCTGAGTCTGAAAAACTATGAAAATTTACAAATTTTTGATTGTTTTCTTTTTTTTTTTAGTCTTTACCTGTTTTATTTCATTTTTACAGTAGTCTGGGTCATAATTCTCATCGTTGCTTTGATAGTATAATTCATGATTGAGTCTATTTCTGTTTCCGTTTGAGACTTGAGATTAAAACTCATTATTTTCAGAAATTTTCCTGTGAGTTTATGAGCTGTAAGAGTTGTAGCGCGGGCTTTTAAAAAAATTGTTGCAATTACAGTTGTTGATTCTTGTTTTTGGTGTGCAAAATCGCATTGTGTAACCTGGTTAGTTGCGTATTGGTGTAGTAATTTTTGTAGATGATCTTCGCAACCAGAATGAGTTAAGAGATCTTGGGGTCTTGTTCGCGTTAGGGGATTATTATGTTTTGTGGGCTCAAGATGGACTAAGAGGAAATAGGAATTGATCGATAAAAAGTTAAAATATACAAAGTCATGATAGTCCTGAAAAGGGATTATAGAATTTTTATAGCCTCTTGTCTTTTTGGTGTATCTGCCGTGTTTATAAAATAATTCTTTGCATAGAAATGGAGGGGGCAATGATTGAACAGTTATCTCTGGTTGAGAAAACAGTGAAGGGTGATGTACTAAGTTGTTTAGTAATACAGTTATTTCAAACTTTAGAACTGGACTCTGTCGTGAAATAATTTGTTGATAATATTCGTGAATTTCTTTATGAATATCGTGTTTATTTTGTAGTCTTTTCAATGCACAATTATGTAGGCGGCCAGTATCAAGTTGATGTACAAAAAATGTTGGTGGTGCTACAAAAGAATTGCAGTCAAAGCGGAGAGGCTTACTATTGTTTTGCAGTTCTTGATATCGATCGTTCTTTTTATTTGGAAAAGTTGTTGGAAAATAAGTTAATGGTGTTATACCTGTTGCCGAGGGTGTTGATGGAAAAGATAGTGTTTCTTGTAATGACAAGGTTGTATCTGGGGAATATTCAAATGATTTTTTTACAAGCTTTGGTTCGCTTTGAATAAATTTATAGTTCATCCAATCTTGGAGTCTGTTTGAGGTGTTTAACCTAAAAAATCGAATGGAGATTTTCGTGTATTTTGATCTGATGTTAAACTTTCAATTGGATGAGTACTTTAGATTGTTTTATTTGAAAGATCTAGGCAGGTTGATCTGGGTGATGAAGGTATATTGAATTGATTTCTTGGTGTTGTTAGGTTTCTATGTTGTCGTGGATGAATTATTTGTTTGTCAATGGTGGTAGTTGGGTTTTGCTTTTGACGTTTTCGGTTTACATCTTGCTGTAATGATGGATAGATGTTACATGTTCGTTCGTACTGTGATTCGCTTAGGGGAGCATGTCAATGGGCTGGTATCAATGGTTCCGATATTGTTGCATGTTTTTCTCAAAAGTAAATGGATTTTCTACTTAAGATATATGAGTATGTGATTGGGGTTGAGTTCATTGACCTGTTGTGGAAATCTGCTGGGGATTTTGGGGTGAGTTGGTTGGTGGCGAGTCTTTTATCGGGGTCGGTGCTGCAATTTTCATTTTCATCTTTCCTTTTTTGTTAATGGTTTTTCAATAGTTTATGTTCTTGATAATATTCTTCGACAAAGATTATTAGTAAAAGTTTTGCTAGTATGAAGACATTTTTTGCCTCTAAAAAGCGTTTGTAAAGAGTCAAGATGTGGAAGCTATTACTATTAAAAAATCATTAGAAGTATCAAGAGTTCCTTTTGGTTTGGGAAAGAGATGGGTAGGTTTGAATCAGGAAAAAGATAATTAGAAACTGTATCAGAGGGATCGCCTAACAAAAATCACAAAAATTGAAATATTCTGGCAGAAATGAGAAAAAGTTGAAAAGTATTCACTCGCTTACCTCAGTCCTTTTCAGAGAACCCTCTCAGACGAAATGAAAAATAGATCAAAGCTCGGAAACGTTCAGCATCATAAACCCAGTCTATCTTTCAAAACTTAGTTCTTTTTTTTTTCATTTCAAATTCATTTCTCTAGTTCGTTGAAGTTTCTATATGAGTCTCAAATATTTGTCCTCATTTTATTCCTCTCTAACTTCTAGAGGGGGAAATGGAAATGTGGTATAGTGAGATTTCTATGAATATCATTACGTCATATCTTTCGTATTTAGATGGTTTCATTCTGCAAACCAAGGTTGTTGACGACCTGCCATACCACTACTGAAGTTGGTGCCATTCTGTTCTCTCAATCTATCATCTTACTTAAGTTGGTTCTAAGATTTTTTAATCAGGACATTTATTATATTCCTGTCTTACTTATATCTATTACACGAGATAAGTTAAACTCTTCATCTTAGTTTTTTTAAAGTTCCTTGATGTACCACATCTGAAAAGGAATTACGCAAAAAATCATAACGTCTTCACAACGTTTACTGATACTTAAATACAATTTCTGGACACTGGATTAATAGACATTATCATTTTTTCAAACTCATCCATTGCTCACCTTTTCACGTTTCCTGTCGGAGAGTCCAATAAGAGCTCCAATTGAAAGTTGAATTTGTTAAGTGAGCGGAAATAGTATCCAACCTAACCGCCCAGGGGCGGACGCCCTCCCTGTCCCTTAAACTTTTCTAAGGGAGACTTTGGCGCCAATATATACTTATTTTGAGGGGAGCATTTTCCAGTTGAAAAAATTGCTTGCGGCGCAAAATTTTTTGTCAAAATAGGGTTTTTTTTAAGGTTCTGGGAGCGCTCAAAGTCTATATGGTCAATCTAAAAAAAAATCGACAAAATTTTCGAACTCCTCGAGAAAATCCTAGATCAGCCCCTACAACATCCATTTAGGAAAATTATCCCGAAACATAAAATCTTTAGCAAGATGAAGTACAATCTATATTATTTTGATAAAACCAACCCAATTAAAGAAATGAAAATCCATAGGTTAATTTTTGAAAAGGTCCTTTTCAAAAAGTTTTCCTCCAGGAAAAGTTAAGAAGTTTCACCGCGTTCCTTGGCATTCAATATATCAATATATGTTCAGAATCATTCAATATATGTTCAGAATCACTCAAATATGCTCGCAAAAGACTATGACTCAAAACTTGATTCTTTTCAGGGTATTAATTTTTATCTGTGCATAACCAAACTCCAGCTGGGGCATCATATAACTTCAGCATACACTTCATCATCAATTAGTGATATAATTCATCTAACTAAAAATTTGTCTAGTGATCAACAATTAGGGAATGATATCAATTAAAGTTTTTTCAATCTCTCTCAAGTTTTGCAGGGTATTAGGAAGTTGTTAGGAAATAAGAAAAATTGAATTGAAATAAGAAACTTTCAGCCTTCTGTTTGGATGAGATGTTTGATTATGTCTTCTGCGTATTTGAGCTTACACCATTGTGGTAGATTCAACTTGTGGAGGTCATCGTCGAAATACGCGGGCGCTAAACCGTCTTCCACAATGCTGAAATATACTCAAATTATAGATACAGTTAGATACGTAATCAAGGCTGTTCAGAAGACATTCAATCACTGCCCGTTGATCTGAAGTCAGCTGTTATCTGACAAGAATTTTGCGATTTACCCTTGATAGTTTCGAAACCGACACTTTTTACTTTTTGTTTAAAATATCGGCATGCTAAAAACTAATTTCTTTTCATTGGTAAAATGAAAGATGTGAAATATTATAAAGACAAGAATTGTTTACAACTTGAGAATTGGTCTGAAAATGGTTAACTTACTGATAATTTGGATTCATCAGATCAGGTTCGTCCAAATTCAGCACAATCAGCTCATTCAAGTAAGTCAACAGCACATATTTCTTTTTCGCGGGCAGCTCATCCAGCGCCTTTTTCTGCTCCGAAGTGAGGGTTTCTTTGAACTGTTTCTGGATCCCAGCGTACGGTTCTTCGTCCTGATGGTCCAGCATCAGTCTGGTTCTCTGAAGTGCCAGTGCTTGCCAGAGGAACACACAGGACTCAAGTGTGATGCCACTGATTCCTGAACAAGTCACCAAGCATAACCAGAAAGTGATTGGAGAGTAAAGTAAGTCACAAAGCCTAATCATAAGCATATTGAGTAAGCTAGGGCTAGCTAAAGGTATTCATCATATAAAACACGACCCAGAAGAATAACCAATCTATGTTCACCTGGCATAGCTTCTATGCTGATTTTGCGGAGGAACTCGCAGATAGGCTGTTTGGGGTCATCCGTTCTATCCTTCTCCATGTATTTCATCAGGAGTATCAACTGTCGCAACATCTTACACACCTCAGGCATGTCTGTGAACTTGTTCTGAATCTTCTCAGCTTCACTTCTTGTCAACTTCTACGACAAAACAAAAACAGAATTTAGCCCGAATAATATAAAACACAAAAACTTACAGAGGCATTAAGGTAAAAACAAGGCAAAAAAGAATGAGAAGTGATCGCTAATCGAACAAGACTGTTGTTATCAAATATTTAACACGGATTAACACTCCGCTTAACGTTAATAGCACGAATATATCGCGCGTTCATTATCCTAAATTCGCATTTTTTACGAAAAAGAATCACAGGTAAAATATCTGTTTTAACTTTCGCTCAGGACAACAATATCTTTCGCAACGCTATAAAAAAAGCGGTCAAAATCGGAATAACAAGTAGCACTGAAAAGTCCGACCACTTTTATAAATATATCTAACAGAAAAAAAATCAATGACCGCAAGGAAACAGAAAAAAAACATTAACTTCTTTTTTGACAAAACTTCAGCTTTCAAGTTTAATAGTAAAAATACATGGCCTTAAAGCTCTTTAAAATTCAAGAACACAAGCGCTTGAAACTTTTTTGAGATTGATAACAACTGCAAAAACTGAATCCGCTGGGAAATCTGGAAATTAAAATCCCCTTCCGAAACTGGAAAACGATCACTTTTTTATGACCTTCACACTTGCTGTTCCATAGTAGAATTTGCTTTCTTTTTAAGAAAGGAAATTAACTGAACATTAAAACAAATCAAAAGTCAAGCCGCAGGAAAACAAATTTGAACATGAACAAATTTTTAGACTTTTCCTGAAAAGAATCATCATGACCTATATAGAAGAATATATGCAGAATTTCACCTGATAAAAACCCCGAAAGGAAACGAATGAAACATGCATGCATTCTCAAGTTTCAAAAAATCAGTTGACTGCTCATAGCCTTATGCAAAGATCAAAAGAATCGATGAACAGAAGAAAACAGAAACAAATAACTTTTGAAAAAATCTCCACTTTCGAATTCCAAAAAAAACATATCCTTTAGCTGTTTGATTTCTAGAACAATTTATGATTGAAAAGATTTTGATAAAATTAACTCAATTTGAGAAAACTGGAGCAAACAGTAAAATTTTTCCACTTTCAAAACACAGATCGATCACGTTTTTTGCGATCTTTACATATTTGCTGTTCGATAGTTGAGTGAACTAAACTTAAGAAGAAATCAATGGTCAAACCTTGAAAAAGTAAATTTGAGCCCGAACAAATTTTAAGATTTTTCTTGAAAGAAAAACACAACCAATCGAAAATTGGAAAATAGTAATGAACGCAAGTAAACATAAAACACCGCTGACTTCCTTGAAAAAATCTCCAATTTCGAAGAAAAAAAAAGCCCTTGAAGCTCTTTGAATTTCTACAACAATTTATGATTGGAGCTTTTTTGATGACATGAAACCAACTTGAGAAAACTGGATTGTTCACGTTTTTTGCGCCATTTCCATGTTCGTATTTGGAGAGTGCTATTTACGTCACTTTCAGCAGATGAATTTCAATTGAACTCAAAAAATGCAAAAAGAGCATCAATTTTTAAAGACTTTTCCCTGAAAAAAAAATCAGCAAGACCTATATAAGAGTCTTCAATATGCTCATTACTCTTAAGCAAAAAAAAATCAGTAAGACCTATATAAGAGTCTTCACTACCTTCATTACTCTTAAACAGAAAACAATCATCACGACCTAAATAAGAGTCTGAACAACGTTCACCGAATCTTCACAACCTATAAACAAGTTTCATTTAAGAAACAAGGACATCCTGTGTCTGTTCAAGTAGCCCACAATGGTCGACTAGCCTGAATTAGGAAAAAAACTTCAACACTCAGGCGATACAAAAATAAGCCAGTATCCACAGCGTAGATTTTTTTTCGTTTACTATTTACGCGGCGACACAATTCATTTTTCAAAACACCCAATTCCCACGAAAGCAAGTACGATCTAGCCATTTTACAACCCTTAGGATTCGCAAAAACTAATTTGAAAAACCGAAAATTGAACCAGGCGATTGAAACATTTTATCAGCTGTTGTGCTGGCATATTCATCATTTTTTTTTCATAAGATTGCAACAAAAAAGCAGCAGATTCTCAAGTTTTTCATAGAAAAAACTAATTGTTGCTTTTTCTGATACGAAATCCAAAAACAAAAAACTTCTAAAAATTATATATAAAAAAATTTGAAAAAAAAAACTTGAAAATTCTTAAAATTGCTTGCACAAAACCGGAATACTTTGAAATGATTCGAACTCCAGAATTTTGTCTTTGCAGTCATGTGCGTTACCTTTACGCCACATGTGCGGACTAATGCCTTAATTTGGATTTTATATTTGCCGAGGTGTCTAATTATTCGAGTGATTTTGATAAACCAGTCAACCTAAAAAAATCTATAATTCGGTTTGATAACGCTTTGATAACCAGGCGATTGAAACAATTTATCAGCCGTAGTGCTGGCATATTCATCATATTTTTAATTGACAGCAACAAAAAAAGCAACAAATTTTCAAGTTTTTAAAGAAAAAACCATTTGTTGCTTTTTCTGATGAAAAATCCTAGGACAAAAGAAAAAAACTTTTAAAAACATTGTAAATAAAAAAAAATTGAAAACCTTCGAACATTTTTTAAATTACTTCCACAAAACCGGAATACCTTGAAATGATTCGAACCACGGAATTTTGTCTTTGCAGTCATGTGCATTATCTGTACTCCACATGTGCGGACTAACGCCTTGATTTATATTTAATATTTGCCGAGGTGTCGAATTATTCGAGTGATTCTGATCAACCCGACAACCTAAAAAAAGCTTATATTTCGATTTGATAACGCTTTGATAATCACGATTTGATAAACACAAACGTTGAATTAAAACAAACTTTAAAATTATCGAAAACCATTTTTCTTTATTTTTTGTTAGTTTTTTCATGACTTCCATAACTTTTTCTTAATATAGGGTTACCGAATTAGATAGAAAAAAGAAATAATGAGGTAAAAATGCTGAAATTGAAAAAAAATAACCTTGAAATTTTATTGCGGAGATCAGCCTCTCAATTTTCTAATAAAATAACCTGGAAGCTTTAATGCGGAGATCATTCTCTCAATTTTCATCTAATCTAGTCTCGAAACTGAAAATATTCAGACAAGTTTTACTTGACACTGAGATAATTCTATGATTTTTTTAAAATTTGAATTAGAGCTAAAAAAGATTCATATGATACCTGACTTGACCCCCGGCAAGCTTTTTTGAGGTAGTCAAAACCTAGTAAAAAAATTATCGAGCAAAAAATTATCTATATTTAATTTCCTTCCCAGCCCTTGAAGGGGGAGTTAGGACCAAAAAGCTTTTGAAATAAACGAACAAATAATCTGACCTAAAAAAATTGTGAGTTTCTCAAACAAATTCATTGACCGTACATAAAACTAAATTATGATATTAGGCTGTGCTGTCTGATACTGTATAAAACGATAAGTCAAAAATAAATTGCCGAAATTTCACAGCGTTTTTCGGTCCACAAAACAGAATTAATTTAAAATAATTTCGTTTAAAAACGCAAAAAATATGATTTCAACTTGTAAACACTTATAAGATGCTGGTTTTTGAAAGAAAGTATCAAAAGCTCATTTTTCCTTAATACGAATATCCGTTTTTTTGTCACTGCTTTCAATGTTTGTCAATTTTTGTGATTTCCTTCAATGCTTAAAGTTTTCAAAATAGGTTACATTCAATATTTTAAATTAAAAAATGAAAATAATAAAAAATGCAAGTGGTCATACAAAAATTGTTCACAGATAAATTACCGTTTCATCCACGATGCAGTTTCGTGCATTGTTGAGTGCGTCTTTTGTGCTCGAAGATTTTGTCATCAGCTTCATAATCTGAAAATGGGAACCATAAAACTTTCACAAAATGCAAATCCTTTCCGTTCAATTTTAAACCAATGAGAAATATTACAGTTTCACACATTCAGAGAGTGTAAATCCTTTCCATTCAATTAAAACGCCTCAGGTAACATGCCCTATTTTACATCAGTGATACTGATACGTGGGCTTTTTAAATTCGAAAGCCAGTGGTAGGCATTTTGACAGACGGGTTTTTTAACAGACCTTTAAGGCGGGTAGAGGCAAAATCCTATAACTGATTTTTAAAAAATAAAAATTTCTTCAACCGTGCAAAATCCCCCCATTCCTCCGAATCTATGTCAGGGGGAGAAAATATAAGTTTTTCAGAAGATAATTTAAATGTAGCCTAGATTTATATAAAATTAGCAGTTTTGTAAAAGAAAATTGATCGAAAACTACAGCCCACAATGGTCGACTAGCCTGAATAAGGAAAAAAACTTCAACACTCAGGCGATACAAAAATAAGCCAGTATCCACAGCGTAGATTTTTTTTCGTTTACTATTTACGCGGCGACACAATTCATTTTTCAAAACACCCAATTCCCACGAAAGCAAGTACGATCTAGCCATTTTACAACCCTTAGGATTCGCAAAAACTAATTTGAAAAACCGAAAATTGAACCAGGCGATTGAAACATATTATCAGCTGTTGTGCTGGCATATTCATCATTTTTTTTTCATAAGATTGCAACAAAAAGCAGCAGATTCTCAAGTTTTTCATAGAAAAAACTAATTGTTGCTTTTTCTGATATGAAATCCAAAAACAAAAAACTTCTAAAAATTATACATAAAAAAATTTGAAAAAAAAACTTGAAAATTCTTAAAATTGCTTGCACAAAACCGGAATACTTTGAAATGATTCGAACCACAGAATTTTGTCTTTGCAGTCATGTGCGTTACCTTTACGCCACATGTGCGGACTAATGCCTTAATTTGGATTTTATATTTGCCGAGGTGTCTAATTATTCGAGTGATTTTGATAAACCAGTCAACCTAAAAAAATCTATAATTCGGTTTGATAACACTTTGATAACCAGGCGATTGAAACAATTTATCAGCCGTAGTGCTGGCATATTCATCATATTTTTAATTGACAGCAACAAAAAAAGCAACAAATTTTCAAATTTTTAAAGAAAGAACCATTTGTTGCTTTTTCTGATGAAAAATCCTAGGACAAAAGAAAAAAACTTTTAAAAACATCTTAAAATTGTAAATAAAAAAAAATTGAAAAACTTCGAAAATTTTTTAAATTACTTCCACAAAACCGGAATACCTTGAAATGATTCGAACCACGGAATTTTGTCTTTGCAGTCATGTGCATTATCTGTACGCCACATGTGCGGACTAACGCCTTGATTTATATTTAATATTTGCCGAGGTGTCGAATTATTCGAGTGATTCTGATCAACCCGACAACCTAAAAAAGCTTATATTTCGATTTGATAACGCTTTGATAATCACGATTTGATAAACACAAACGTTGAATTAAAACAAACTTTAAAATTATCGAAAACCATATTTCTTTATTTTTTGTTAGTTTTTTCATGACTTCCATAACTTTTTCTTAATATAGGGTTACCGAATTAGATAGAAAAAAGAAATAATGAGGTAAAAATGCTGAAATTGAAAAAAAAATAACCTTGAAATTTTATTGCGGAGATCAGCCTCTCAATTTTCTAATAAAATAACCTGGAAGCTCTAATGCGGAGATCATTCTCTCAATTTTCATCTAATCTAGTCTCGAAACTGAAAATATTCAGACAAGTTTTACTTGACACTGAGATAATTCTATGATTTTTTTAAAATTTGAATTAGAGCTAAAAAAGATTCATATGATACCTGACTTGACCCCCGGCAAGCTTTTTTGAGGTAGTCAAAACCTAGTAAAAAAATTATCGAGCAAAAAATTATCTATATTTAATTTCCTTCCCAGCCCTTGAAGGGGGAGTTAGGACCAAAAAGCTTTTGAAATAAACGAACAAATAATCTGACCTAAAAAAATTGTGAGTTTCTCAAACAAATTCATTGACCGTACATAAAACTAAATTATGATATTAGGCTGTGCTGTCTGATACTGTATAAAACGATAAGACAAAAATAAATTGCCGAAATTTCACAGCGTTTTTCGGTCCACAAAACAGAATTAATTTAAAATAATTTCGTTTAAAAACGCAAAAAATATGATTTCAACTTGTAAACACTTATAAGAAGCTGGTTTTTGAAAGAAAGTATCAAAAGCTCATTTTTCCTTAACACGAATTTCCGTTTTTTTGTCACTGCTTTCAATGTTTGTCAATTTTTGTCATTTCCTTCAATGCTTAAAGTTTTCAAAATAGGTTACATTCAATATTTTAAATTAAAAAATGAAAATAATAAAAAATGCAAGTGGTCATACAAAAATTGTTCACAGATAAATTACCGTTTCATCCACGATGCAGTTTCGTGCATTGTTGAGTGCGTCTTTTGTGCTCGAAGATTTTGTCATCAGCTTCATAATCTGAAAATGGGAACCATAAAACTTTCACAAAATGCAAATCCTGTCCGTTCAATTTTAAACCAATGAGAAATATTACAGTTTCACACATTCAGAGAGTGTAAATCCTTTCCATTCAATTAAAACGCCTCAGGTAACATGCCCTATTTTACAACAGTGATACTGATACGTGGGCTTTTTAAATTCGAAAGCCAGTGGTAGGCATTTTGACAGACGGGTTTTTTAACAGACCTTTAAGGCGGGTAGAGGCAAAATCCTATAACTGATTTTTAAAAAATAAAAATTTCTTCAACCGTGCAAAATCCCCCCATTCCTCCGAATCTATGTCAGGGGGAGAAAATATAAGTTTTTCAGAAGATAATTTAAATGTAGCCTAGATTTATATAAAATTAGCAGTTTTGTAAAAGAAAATTGATCGAAAACTACATTAATGTAGTTAATTAACAGCATTCAGATGCAATTCCACATAAAAACTGTAAAAGGCAGTTTTAATGATGCATTTGCTCAAAATGCATACTTTATTCAGAAATAACGGTACATTCTACGGTTTGTCACTTAGTGGGGATTCTACGGTTGATAAAAAAAGTTAATTATATTATATCTGCACGAATTGTACAGCAAATTTTGTTGTGCTGATACAAAAAATTTTCTGTTAATAAAAGTGGTGCTACATTCGTTCAAAAATCGCATTCTTTGTTCGCCAAAAATATTCAAATATTCGTTGAATGTTCGAATATTTGATTTTTTATTGGGTTTTTCAGTATTCTTGAGAAAAAAACTGAAGATCAATTTCAAATTGAAGTTCTCCAATTTTCATGCAGTATTTGGCCAGTTCATGATGTATACTTTGCTCTTTTCTTGGTGACAACGTTTCCAACAGCCCTGAAATCACGGGGTTCTCGAGAATGGCATGCAGAAAATTTTCCTCACCAAGTAGTGAGTCTTCGATAAATTGTGACTTGGTGGAACAACTCAATAACACGCAGGTCAAATAGGACCGAATATTCGCGAGCACATTCTAAGTTTTTCCTCGAACGAACGTTCTAACATTCGGTTGCACCACTCATAACGACGTCGGTTTGGCGCAAAAATCATTTAGCCAATGGGAACGTTTAACGATTCAGATAGGTTAAAAGTTTTCCATCACTCGGTCTCTCCATCATGAGAAAACCCCTTGCGATAGCATTCGGCACGTTATATCGTGCGCTAATTTGGAGTACTCTGTTTTTGAAGTTGATAGGGCGGTGTATCGAGCAGCAGAAAAATTTTAAATCTGAAAATCGTATCGACTTAAATAAAAATCGGAACTCAAAATGGAAATATCGAATGAAAATAAAATCATTAGGATGTTGTTAACTATCCCCCTTCCCCTCATTGGACCTTGTTAACTAACCCCCTATGCATGTATTTTTTGACAACGCGTTTGTATAAAATATGCGTTCCAATTATAGGTTCTATAAGCCAAAACAGTACCAATGTACGGGTATGGGTTCACACCCCATGAGGGGGGGGGGGTGTAGTCATATGGGAAGGCGTCAGTCCCCCCTCTTAATCCTTTACTGGGTCGAAGTGTGACTGATCACAATTAATGCGATAAAAAAATTGAATCAAACTAATATCCTATATAATACACCCCACCGTTGAATGACTTCATTATCGAGGAGGGGGGGGGGGATTCGTTACTAGGTACCCGAGGGGGAGGGGTGCTTGTTGTTTGCTTATTTTCACATTTCTATTTCTCAAAATACAAGATTCAATTTGAACTGATTATTCTTGTTGTGTTCTGTTTCTGAGAAATCAATTTATCAAAATTATGCTATTCGAGCGGTCACCGTTGATAGTTTTGTTGGAAAACCGTGAGATGATTGTCCTAATTAAAGAATCTTGACCTAAGAGCGAGCGTCTTTTTACGTTAGTCAATCAATTATGTGTCAGTTTTATAACGTTGGTCTGCCAATAGACTCATTTTTCACTTCTTAAGCTAAAAATTTGGTCTGCTAAAGAATCAATCCCCTAGAAATTCACATTTAATTTGTTTCGAACTGCTCACAAGAGTACAAAACTGAAATCTAGACATGAGACACACGGAGCCTAGATAACCGAAGAAAACTAATCAATAATTCGGGCAATCCAATCAATCACTACTATTCAATTGAAAGATGGCCCCCGCTCACTTTAACACAGCAGTTATCTAATGGGTTTACTGCCACTAGAAATTAGCTTAAATATTCACCTTCATGCTGATGAGGGGCTTGAACTTGAACAGGTGGTGTCCAATTGTTCCTTCTATTCCACTCAGATCATAGTGCACGCTCTCTGCCTGTGCATCCGCGGTGGCGAAGTTCGCAATCACCGACAGCAACTCCCGGTCAACATTGGAAACCGAAACGACATGTTCACCCTTCACAACTCCATTATTCAATTCCATGGCGCTAAACCACAAAACACATGATGGACACTATTTTATATAGGTGTTTAAAATGTATGTAACACTTAGTTTATACAAAAGAACAACGCCACAAGGACGTCTAAAAGAACCATGTAATATGATTTTCTCTAAATTGTTCTTTTTTCTTTCATTTCATTTTGCATGATATAGACCTTCGAATTTATATGTTTCAAAGCTAATCAATCAACTTCTAACCAAAACACTATTACAGAAATATTACTTGGAGGGACTCTTGATGCGTAATCAATACTCTTTGAGCAGGAACCCAGAATAGATTAAAAACACGACAGCCAAAGTTGACATTAGTTCCAGATTGTGCACGCCATTAGCGCACGAATTGAAAAATCAGTGAAGTCTTCTAACTTTAAAAAACTGAAAACGCAATGCAACTAACTTGGCTAAATTCATATATCAAAATGTCTTCAAATTAAAAGCTAAGTATTTCAAATGTCACCTTTTTTCTAAATGTTCTTATTTCTTGTTTCTTCTGTTTGTCTACTGATTCATAATTGCCCTTTTAGATATTTTAACCTTTCCGTTCCCCTACTAATCTTAGTGTTTTGGCCAGGTATGTGCACAAAGACGGGGACATTGGAGCCCAACTACGAAAGCGAATCTATGACTTTTGGAAATCGACTGTTATTTGGTTTGTTTATAAATTTGTTTAATCTTTGAATTGGTTTGTGTTACTGGAACCCAACTGGATTATTTTGGACCTCCTTTTCAAACTGTTAGTCAGAACTATGTTATTGTTTTGTTTCGTTAATTTGAATGCCTGTTATGAGATCACAATTTTCAAAAATGAACTCAAATAGAAACGTCAATGAAAGTAATTTTGAAACCGCATTGCTAGATGATAATCAGTTGAAAGTGATTCAGACATGTTATTACATACAATCAAAAGTTAAAATACAAATAATGACGAGCTTGAAGTAGTTGAAAGTCTGATGACAGATTTAGATAAAATCATTCAGCCCCTGAACGATATTGTTATTCATTTGATAAGCGAACGTAATGAACAAATGCAACAACAGTTATTCGCCCGATTGAAAACAGTTAAAGGGGTCTATATAAAGACCCAGATGGAGTAAAAACGCAATGCAATTAGGCAACGTTCAGCTTGCAATGTGTCGATTACATCTTCGCGAGTTCAAAGTAATGTTTCTACTCCGTCGCTCGTTCAATCTGCCCTTACCGCCAAAAAGCACACAAAATCACAGACACACAGCACCACAAAATTCATCAACAAGTATTTGACGGAGACCCCGAACAATGGTTGAACTGAAATCTACAACGCCACAATAGACAACACCGATATGTCAGATTCTGAAAAACTAACCCACCTTGAACTACTTGTTTCCGGAGACTCTAAATCCCTAATCCGTGAATACGGATGCAACGAATCAATGTAAAACTCGTCCCTACAACGACTGCATCAGAAATTGGAAACCCAACGAAAATTGTTACTTCAGTCCTGAAGCGACTCGACAACTTCAACAGTCCATTACTCAGACACCGAGGAATCTACAAAGACCTGGCCAACTTCCTCAGAACAATTGTTGATTCTTTTTTCTAAACTTTCTTATTTCTTCTGTTTCTCTAGCTAATTCATAATTGCCCCGTCTAGATATCTCAACCTTTCCGTTCCGCTGCTAATCTTTGTGTTGTTGCCAGGTACGTGCATAAAGACGCGGACATTGGCGGCCAACTACGAAAGAGAATCTACGACTTTTGGATTTCGACTGTTATTTGGTTTGTTTATTAAATTTGTTTATTCTTTGAATTGGTTTGCGTTACTGGAACCCGACTGGATTTTTGGACCACCTTTTGAAACTGGTAGTCAGAACTACGTTGTTTTGTTTTGTTAGATTTAATGCCTGTTACGAGATCACAATTTTCAAAAATGAACAAATAGAAACGTCACTGAAAGTAATTTTGAAACCGCATTGCCAGATGGTAATCAGTTGAAAGTGATTCAGACATTTTGTCGAATACAATCAAAGGTTTAATTACAAATAATGAAGAGCTTGAAGTACTTGAAAGTCTGCTGACAGATTTAAATACTATCGTTAAGCCCCTGAACGATATTGTTATTCAGTTAATGAGCGGACGTAATGAACAAATGCAACAACAGTTACTCGCCCAATTGAAAACAGTTGAAGTGGTCCATAGAAAGACCCAGATGGAGTAAAAACGCTATGCAATTAGGCAACGTTCAGCATGCAAGGTTTCAATTACATCTTCGCGACTTCAAAGTAATGTTTCTACTCCGTCGCTTGTTCGATCTGCCCTTACGGCCAAACAGCACGCAAAATCACAGACAGCACCACAAACATCAACAAATATTTGATGGAGACCCCGAACAATGGTTGAACTGAAATCTACAACGCCACAATAGACAACACCGATATGTCAGATTCTGAAAAACTAACCCACCTTGAACTACTTGTTTCCGGAGACTCTAAATCCCTAATCCGTGAATACGGATGCAACGAATCAATGTAAAACTCGTCCCTACAACGACTGCATCAGAAATTGGAAACCCAACGAAAATTGTTACTTCAGTCCTGAAGCGACTCGACAACTTCAACAGTCCATTACTCAGACACCGAAGAATCTACAAAGACCTGGTCAACTTCCTCAGAACAATTGTTGATTCTTTTTTCTAAACTTTCTTATTTCTTCTGTTTCTCTAGCTAATTCATAATTGCCCCGTCTAGATATCTCAACCTTTCCGTTCCGCTGCTAATCTTTGTGTTGTTGCCAGGTACGTGCATAAAGACGCGGACATTGGCGGCCAACTACGAAAGAGAATGTACGACTTTTGGATTTCGACTGTTATTTGGTTTGTTTATTAAATTTGTTTATTCTTTGAATTGGTTTGCGTTACTGGAACCCGACTGGATTTTTGGACCACCTTTTGAAACTGGTAGTCAGAACTACGTTGTTTTGTTTTGTTAGATTTAATGCCTGTTACGAGATCACAATTTTCAAAAATGAACAAATAGAAACGTCACTCAAAGTAATTTTGAAACCGCATTGCCAGATGGTAATCAGTTGAAAGTGATTCAGACATTTTGTTGAATACAATCAAAGGTTTAATTACAAATAATGAAGAGCTTGAAGTACTTGAAAGTCTGCTGACAGATTTAAATACTATCGTTAAGCCCCTGAACGATATTGTTATTCAGTTAATGAGCGAACGTAATGAACAAATGCAACAACAGTTATTCGCCCGATTGAAAACAGTTAAAGTGGTCTATATAAAGACCCAGATGGAGTAAAAACGCTATGCAATTAGGCAACGTTCAGCATGCAAGGTTTCAATTACATCTTCGCGACTTCAAAGTAATGTTTCTACTCCGTCGCTTGTTCGATCTGCCCTTACGGCCAAACAGCACGCAAAATCACAGACAGCACCACAAACATCAACAAATATTTGATGGAGACCCCGAACAATGGTTGAACTGAAATCTACAACGCCACAATAGACAACACCGATATGTCAGATTCTGAAAAACTAACCCACCTTGAACTACTTGTTTCCGGAGACTCTAAATCCCTAATCCGTGAATACGGATGCAACGAATCAATGTAAAACTCGTCCCTACAACGACTGCATCAGAAATTGGAAACCCAACGAAAATTGTTACTTCAGTCCTGAAGCGACTCGACAACTTCAACAGTCCATTACTCAGACACCGAAGAATCTACAAAGACCTGGTCAACTTCCTCAGAACAATTGTTGATTCTTTTTTCTAAACTTTCTTATTTCTTCTGTTTCTCTAGCTAATTCATAATTGCCCCGTCTAGATATCTCAACCTTTCCGTTCCGCTGCTAATCTTTGTGTTGTTGCCAGGTACGTGCATAAAGACGCGGACATTGGCGGCCAACTACGAAAGAGAATGTACGACTTTTGGATTTCGACTGTTATTTGGTTTGTTTATTAAATTTGTTTATTCTTTGAATTGGTTTGCGTTACTGGAACCCGACTGGATTTTTGGACCACCTTTTGAAACTGGTAGTCAGAACTACGTTGTTTTGTTTTGTTAGATTTAATGCCTGTTACGAGATCACAATTTTCAAAAATGAACAAATAGAAACGTCACTCAAAGTAATTTTGAAACCGCATTGCCAGATGGTAATCAGTTGAAAGTGATTCAGACATTTTGTTGAATACAATCAAAGGTTTAATTACAAATAATGAAGAGCTTGAAGTACTTGAAAGTCTGCTGACAGATTTAAATACTATCGTTAAGCCCCTGAACGATATTGTTATTCAGTTAATGAGCGAACGTAATGAACAAATGCAACAACAGTTATTCGCCCGATTGAAAACAGTTAAAGTGGTCTATATAAAGACCCAGATGGAGTAAAAACGCTATGCAATTAGGCAACGTTCAGCATGCAAGGTTTCAATTACATCTTCGCGACTTCAAAGTAATGTTTCTACTCCGTCGCTTGTTCGATCTGCCCTTACGGCCAAACAGCACGCAAAATCACAGACAGCACCACAAACATCAACAAATATTTGATGGAGACCCCGAACAATGGTTGAACTGAAATCTACAACGCCACAATAGACAACACCGATATGTCAGATTCTGAAAAACTAACCCACCTTGAACTACTTGTTTCCGGAGACTCTAAATCCCTAATCCGTGAATACGGATGCAACGAATCAATGTAAAACTCGTCCCTACAACGACTGCATCAGAAATTGGAAACCCAACGAAAATTGTTACTTCAGTCCTGAAGCGACTCGACAACTTCAACAGTCCATTACTCAGACACCGAAGAATCTACAAAGACCTGGTCAACTTCCTCAGAACAATTGTTGATTCTTTTTTCTAAACTTTCTTATTTCTTCTGTTTCTCTAGCTAATTCATAATTGCCCCGTCTAGATATCTCAACCTTTCCGTTCCGCTGCTAATCTTTGTGTTGTTGCCAGGTACGTGCATAAAGACGCGGACATTGGCGG